GCTTTCATGGATTAGAAAAGTGAAATTTGGGAAGGGGAATAAAAGCACAAGATCCCAGCTTGATCCCACAAAACCTTATTGTTCAGGGGAAAGGAGAACGGGGAGATGGGCAGTCGTGTTTGAAGTTCAATCACAGAATCATGATTTGCAAAGTGGCTTGTTCCCCAGGTGCCCTTCAGCTTCCTTGTTAACTTATATGTCACTTCTTGCCCCTTGAATGACCAGGTGATGCAAGGCTCACGCATGCAGTGGTTGTTGCAAACATCTGGGCAGTCTGTGTGGAGAGAGGAGGGGGAGAGGGAAAAATGTGGGATTCCACACTCGTTTTTGGAAATGATGAAGGGGAAGACCTGTGGGACAGGAGGCTGCACCCAGTAGGTGCTTCACTCCCTGCCGTTAGGTAAGGATAAATGATGACCCCGTTTGGCACTGTGTTAAGAGGTAGCAGCACTGGGAGAAAGAACATCAGATTGGGTTCAGCTCAGCTGCTCTCTTGGCACAGAGCTTGTTTGTGCTGTTTGCCTGTCTCTCTGAGCATCGTTCACTCCATCCCCAGGCACATGCTCTTATGATAATTTCTGTAATTCTATTAGCTTGGAGGAAATAGGCTTTACTGTCCATTTGATTTTATTTCTTTTTTCCAGACAACTCCGCCGCTTGTTCAAGTTCTCTGGAAAAGCTTAACCCTTTGTGGATACCTTTTTTTTGCCTTTCCAGGGCATTGAGACTAGGTGTTTTCCCTTTCTGCCTTCTTGGTTTCCATGTATAAGTAGCATTATAACTGAGATTTTTGTTTGTTTCTTTTTGGTCCCAACTAGAAATGAGCTAAAGCTTCAAAGATCAGATCATAACTCATGTTTCCCAAAAGTGAGTGCTTAAGCCTGAATAATTTGGAAACATCTGATGTGCAGAGGCAGCAAAGAGCCATTACATCAAGAGATACAGGTATTTTAGCTTAATTTGCCTAGTTACTGAATTTTTCTGTAGTGTTTGTATGCACAGATATTTTGTTTCTAACATCACATGCTGGAGCTCCTGATGAAATCAGCTCAGAATTATTTTTATGGCTAAGGAGAGTGATGTGATAAGAACACATCACCATGACTGCATTGCAGAACTACATAGAAGAAGAATTCGTATGGGTAGGGGGAAGCTATCTACCCAAGGACCTCTGCAGGAACAACTTACATAGCCTTCGCTTTTTAACGAACATGCCAATTTTAGTGGTGTTTTTCTTTGTTAAGATTTGTTAAGATCAAATCTTAATCAACTCAGGTGATGGGGAAAAGAATCTTTCCCACCTTTGTCTGAGGTATTGGTGGTCCCTCTATAAAAAGCGAGCACTGCTGGTCTTTCTAGTTTGCTGTGGCTGCAGGGGTGCAGAAACAGTCCCAAATAAACCCACCTGGAGGCAGACAGTACATGTGTGTGGTCGTGGTTGTGCTTCTGTGTGTTCTGACGGAAGACAGGATTGGTCAGGGCTAGAGGGTTTGGTAATGGTAGGGAATGGGGAGGGAGCCAAAAGATGCTTTTCCTCACTAGTATGGAAGCAAAGGCTGGTTGCACATTACCGTTGAAAAACAGCATTAGTGAAAACTACATTTTGAATGATCACTTTTCTGCTTTTTTTAATGAAAAGTATTACTGTAAAAAAACCTGAAAAGTAGAAATGTTGAAGTTTATTTTGTTTGATGAACTGGGACCTTATCATATTCATGTTAGCCTGCAAGATGACATTTTTAACATAATTTTTTGGTTATTTTTAAGGTCGTAATTTAATTTTCTCCAGCAATCTTTTATTTTTGAAATTTTGCAAAAAAATCAAAGCAGAAGACCCTTAAATTCTTTGACAAGGTAAACTGGGAACAGTTCTATGTATCATGTAGGTGGAGCTGCTGAGAGGCAAAAATAGCATTTCCCATTTTGAAACCACAGTTTTAGGAGGTCAGATTTTTCAAAATTTTAGGACTTTGGGTGAAACTTTCCATTCTGAAATTTGCTATGGATTGAATTATTTATGGAAACTTAAAAAAAATACAGTTGTGGTTTTCAAGAACATAACTAAGGAAGAGTATATTGCTTCACTCGTGATTAAAAAAGGAGTAAGGTGGCCGCAGTGTATGGAAAGCACCAGAGCCCACCATTTCTTGGATGAGGAGCTCTAGTTCTGCAGGGAACTCCCTGGGGCCAGGGATGTGCTTTTTGAAAGCTTTTTCTGGGTTTGTCAAGTCTGAGGCCTCTGTCTGCCTGTGCTATGTGTTAGCTGCTAGCTGAGCTGTCAAATCCTTTCTAAAACTTTGGCTATGCTGGGGATAATTCAGCTGAAGGCTGCAGTTAGGGAGCCAAGCGTTATCAGTCATTACTGCTCATAAAGATAAGGCCAGCTATGAGATGGGAGTACTGGAGGGCTCATTTCGGTTGCATTCAGGCAGTGAGCAGGAAGATAAGAAGAAGAAGGGACCGGGGAGAGGAGTAACGATTGGTAGGAGGGTGAGAGCAGGACAGAGGCAAAAGTGCTGTTGGTGCTGGGTGAAAGGCGCAGAGAGAGGGCTCTCTGCTCTGTGCAGGTCCTGTGCCAGCCAGGTGGAGTGCAGGGTCCGTGTCTGACTTGCTGCATCCTTGGTTGCTTGGCTGGGTGAGTCCCTCTCCCTTCTGTCCTGCAGGAGTGTGTAGTAGCTCACAAGAGCGTTTAAGTCTGTGCTGAGGTCTGCGCTGCCTCTTTCAGATTCACTGTTCAGGGTTGTTATGGGATTTATAGGGGCTTCACCTGTCTGCGCAGTGCTGGCAGCTGCTCTGGCTTCCCCCTGGCTTCTGTCTAAGCAGAAAAAGATGCTCAACAGCTGGGGCAGTGTGTGCACCTGTGCTTGTGATGTTCTGTGCCTTGTCAGCTCTTGGCATATGAGATGAGCATCTCCCTGCATGGGTGGAGGCATCCCTCTGCTCCCGTGGGGCTGCCTGTGCCCCATCTCATCTCACAGCTGTTGTTTCAGTTGCCTGCAGAGAAATAGCTCTGCTCTCTAGTTTTGGGAAGCAAAAGAAGACATTTGAGGCGAGGAAAGCAGGTTTGACCCATTTAAACTTTACACCGCCCACCAGTCACCGTGGGAAATGTCCAGAACGGCTAATGTTTGGGGAGGTGACCAGAGCATTGCCACCCTCTGGGAGAGGAGGATGTGGCAGCTTCTATGGTCATAGGGCACGCCTGCATTAGTAGGGCTGTCCTACAGTCATCCTTCACCTTCTTGCCCTGTCTTTAGCAATGGACACAGTTACAGTGCATAGAGGAAG